TTCATACTATTTAAATTATATTTATATTATTCATATTTATTATAAATATTTTATTATACATTATATAATTAATTACACAATAAGTAATATCTCTTTCCTTCTCTTAATTTTTTTACTTATTTTATTCATCTCAAAATTTAAAATTTAAAATTTTTAAATAAAATTTTAAGTTTTTAATTAATAATTTAAAACACACCTTAAATAGTTATATCGTATATATTTGTTTATGTGTTATTGTAGATGCAATATTATTGGAGACAATTCCTTTTAATATTTCCTCTTTTATTCCGTTTTCCAAGCAGCTCTAAAAAAGTCAAACCACATGGGTACTTAAACTTGCATGACTTATTATAGGATTAGAGAGCAGAGCCATAAAATCATATCCTCTCGATAAGGCAAAAGTGGCGGCCGCAACAATGGATAAGTTCCACGTAGTCTTCATCTCCTTCCCTACCATCGGGAACCTTGTTCCGACCGTTGAATTCGCCCGTCACCTTATGGACCGCGACATTCGTCTCTCCGCCACCGTCCTCGTGGTCGAGATCTCCGGCAGACCCATTATCAACGCCTACATCAAATCTTGTGTTGCCACCGCCTCCAAACTAAACTTCCTCTACCTTCCCACCGTGGATCCCCCTTCCCCGGATCGGTACCAGACTTCCATGGGCTATTTGTCACTCCTGTTTGCAGCACACAAATCCCACGTTAAAAATGCAATCACAAGTCTCATGTCGGCTGACTCGGCGTCTGACTCACCCCGAGTTGGATTGTTCGTAGACATGTTTTGTACATCCATGATTGATGTTGCCAACGAACTCAGCATTCCTTGCTATCTTTTCTTCGCCTCTCCAGCTAGCTTTTTAGGATTCATGCTTTATTTTCCGACTCTAGACACCAAATTCGCCACCGAGTTTGTGGACTCCGATTCCGGTGAGATGGTCCCGAGAGAGCCGGAAACTCGGTTGTCCGTTCCGGGTTTTGCCAATCCATTGCCGCCTCAGGTTTTGCCACCAAGATTGCTGAAGAGGAAGCAAGATGGTTACTTTTGGTTTTTACACCATGCTCGCAGATACAAGGAAGTCAGAGGTATGGTTATAAATACGTTTCGAGAACTCGAAACATATGCACTTGACTCAATTTGTACCGACGATTTGCCTCCGGTGTACCCGATCGGACCAATTCTTGATCTCGCCGGACCGGCGAAGTGGCACCCGGACCGGGTGGAACATGGTGGCATCATAAAATGGCTGGATGATCAACCGCCGTTATCGGTGGTTCTCTTGTGTTTCGGCAGCAGTGGGTGTCTTAGCCCGGCCCAATTGAGGGAAATAGCGGTTGGGTTAGATCGGGCCAGGGTTCGGTTCCTGTGGTCAATCCGTGAACAGCCCAAGACCGAGTTGGATTTGCCCGGTGAGTTTGCGGATCCGAGGGAGGTCTTGCCCGAAGGGTTTTTAGATCGAACGGCCGGGGTTGGTTTAGTTTGCGGGTGGGTCCCACAAGCTGTGATATTGGCCCACAAAGCCATCGGAGGGTTCGTATCCCACTGCGGTTGGAATTCTATACTAGAGAGTGTCTGGTATGGAGTTCCGATTGCCACGTGGCCGCTTTACGGCGAGCAACAAATGAATGCATTTCAGCTGGTGAAGGAGTTGGGATTGGCCGTGGAGATCCGATTGGATTACAGGGAAGGTAGCGATTTGGTGTCGGCGGAGGAGCTGGAGAAAGCCCTGCGGCGTTTGACGAACGGTGATGATGAGATCAGGAGAAAGGTTCAGGAAATGAAAGAGATGGGCAGAAAGGCTTTGATGGAAAATGGATCATCATACAAATCATTGGGATCCCTAATTCAGGATTTAACAAACTCGTCAAAATAAGCACTGCTGTACCGTATCACTGCACTTTTTTTTTTTTTTGTGGTTCCCAAGGTCAAAATGACAAAGTGGTAATAAGAAGCTCAATGAGTGGCTAATTGCTTTATATATATATATACATAATTTACATTGAAAAAATAAATGTTGATTTTTTTTTAATTAATTATTCAATTAAAATAACACAGAGAACATAGTGGTGAAATAAAGGTTAGCTTTTGTATATATTTTTTTTACAATTTAATGTTAAAAAGATATATTAATTACACCCTCAACAAGTGTTATTTAATATATAAGTTAGACAAATTCAAATAATTTATGTGTATATATATATATGGAGGAGATTTACTTATACATAAATTTTATATATTATACTTATATAAAATCTCAATTATTTATTTTTTTACTTTAAATAATTTCAAGGATTGAGATTTGTTACAGTTTTTTAGGTGAAAAAATAATTATATTTAATAAATATGAATAAATATAAATAAATCTTAATAACTAAAAGTGGAGAGATAAATTATTAAAATTTTATATAAATATGATGTGTATGTTAGTCATTACTCATATATATAGGAAATAGTGTTCATTTACCTTACTTTTTAAAAATTAAGAGGAAAATTATCCTAAAATTATGTTGTTTTAATAAACTTTCATTATAAAAAACTAAAATACCATATTTTTAAATCATAAATTATAGTGTTTTTAGTCATTTCTTATGATGCTTTATTGAAATAACATAATTTTAGAGTAATTTTTTTTTAATTTTTAGGAGGTAAGACAGATAAGCACTAACCCTATACATAATATATATTTATAAATAGTTGTATATCAATTTTAATTCCAAAAAAATTAGTGTTGAGAAATGAATTTGTATTGTTTTAAAATTCACAACATATGTATTGTCATGTCAACAGAACCGATTTTGAACTTGTGACTAGAAAAGGCCCACATGATCTATTTCCAAATTAAACCTGTTATATTTTATTTTTTACCAATTACTACAACAGAGTCAACATCACCAAAAGTGGTGTTCATCTACTTCACTGGAAATATTGCAAACATGATTTACTTTAATACTATTCTCATATACATGGCTAGACATGGTTACATTTATCTCCACAATATGGTTAGACGTTTCTTAACAGTCATGATCTCTAATGCTATATTTGCTGCTACAATTAGCTCCTAATAATGGATAAATAGCATATCTTGTTATAGATACATAGCTCCCATCAAAGGACAATGAGCTGATTTTATTACATCTACATATCTCCCATCAATGGACAAAGGGCTAAACATTTATTCTACATACCTCTATCACTAGTTCTCATCAATGAACAACGAGCTATTTCTATTATATCTATACAACTTTTAGTGATGGACAAAAGGCCAGACTTGCTATGTTACATAGCCTCTAGAAACGAGCAAAAGGCTACATATTTCTACACATCTTCATTACACCGACTCCTAGAAATGGACAAGGGTTGGATCTTTACATATTTTATTTTATTGGCTCTCAGAAATGAACAAAAAGTCAGCACAACTTAGTATGATTAGCATGAGGTCGATAATAGTTGCAAGCTTGCCATTGGTTGAGATGGCTACCCTCCAGCAATAAAAATCCATCAAGTTGTGCCCAACAGTCTTTGGTGGTCGCCCCTGTGGTGCCCAACGAGTAAAAACAACTAAGATCATCCTCTAATAGTGTGGATACCACAAAAAGGGCTTAGTTTATTATGGTATCACACCTTGTTCATATCGAAGGCCATAGATGTAGCTAGCAATCCCCCTTCCATAAACAACACTTTACCCATTTCTTATCGTATTCATTACTATGCTGGAGTCCTAGATTAATGAGATTTATCCTCTTCGCGACTTGGCAGATTGCAGGGAAAGCTCTTTTGATTCTATATAGTTCATGCTTTAGTTATGGGTAAAGCTAGCTATTGTTGTCCCTCTGGCTATGGGAAAGCTGTTCTTAGCTGACCTAACAATATCTAACATGGTCAACAGTCTTGCACACCATTATTCTTTCTATACAAAAAGATAACATTACTAGTCGTCGGTAATCCCAATCTACAGCGTATTTCTTCTATATTTTTACATGTTGGTAGGTATCGTAAACTAACGGTGCTTGGCTCAATAAGATGATACTACAACAAGCATCCATATCATCCATCCTTTATCTTGGCACATTGCCAAACTTATATGGCAATATTATAAAAGTGCCTTTTATGGCCAGTGAATAAAAAAGTGCAGCAATGTTTATTCTCCTTATCCCATTTGATACACAAGGGAGTGTTCTTCTTTACTACACATATTTATATATTTTACACTTATATATTTGAACAAATACTCATTTATATTTTGCCCTTTAATGCAGATGAACACAAACCCATGAATTCAAGCTCATGGGGATTATTTAAGATAAAATATGGAAGTAATGGCTTGGCAAGCATGGATGGATGAAAGTTGACTACCTAGCGAAGTAAGGTATTCGCGCTAGCCAAGCTTGGAGCTAGCGATGTTACTCGTCTTTGCTAAGAAGGGTTGGGCTGCAACACATGAAGGCAAAACTTGATCCCAAAATTGCACAATTTGATGTTGACTAAAAGGTTTGGAATCCCATTAAAAATCAACTAGAAATGCCATTTGAGTCTCCATCACCAACCTTTTGTTGTATTTAATGCATGGGTAGTTGCACAAGTTTCATTGAATGGAAAACTGGTGAAAAAGATTATATTTTGCTTAGGGAAATCATCAAAATCTTAGATAGAGGTGGTTTTGTCAATGGTGCTTAATTGTATACCAAATATGGTATTTGATATAGACAGAGAGTTACCAAGAATGGGAGGTTTCTAGTGAACCAACAATCCTCCACTGTAAATGCTAGGCAGTTTATTATTGCACTTCAAAGGCTATCAACAATGCTCAGATCCACCCAAAACTTGACACTGGTCCTCACCCAACCCAAATCTAATCATTGGATAGTTGGGCTACTCTGGCCTCACCAACTCAAAATTACCAAAGTGTCACTACATACATATTTAATTTTTTTCTTCATTTTTGGGGCATTATTCAGTCTATAAAGAGATTGAACAGCTTACTCATGCAAAAAACACCATTTTTCCTCTGAAGAAATCTTTATATTCAACCTCTTGCCTCACACACCAAAATTTTCCTAGAATTCTTCATTTTTCTCATATTTTCTACACTTCGAACCATACAAAATATACTCCAGACTTGCAGCACACCATGACTAGGGAATTTCATGCTATAGTTTGATATTCTAAGTTGTTTCTCTTGAGCATCAAAGGATCAATTGGAAAGGTTAGCATCAACGAGTGGGATCAAGTCCTCTAGTCAAAAACCCCCCACAATGGTCATCTTTCCTTCTCCAATCACTACTTTCAAGTTTATTTCTTTTGTTTTGTGGAAGCTTAAAGAAGATTATTGTGTTTTCAACTATAACATGAGGGGTGCTCATTTTAGAGTAGGAGTATTTATCAAGGATAGTAGCAAGGTTTTTAAAATCGGATTGGATCGGTCGGTTGAACCAATCGAACCGGTATCCGATAATGAAAATGGTTCGATTTACACAAAAAAACCGTTTGAGGTCAAAATTGATCAAAACTGATCAAAACCGATCAAGAATCGGTCAAAATCGATGAAACCGATGGAACCGGTGAAACCGATAGAACCGAAAAAACCACCGATTCAATTTCTCATGCAATTTTCTTTCTATTTTTTCCAATTTCACCCTCACCATTCCTTTCTTATATCGATTTTAACCCTTAATTTTAATAAAATTACAAAATTACCTGCCTCTCTCATTAGATTTCCCTTGTCATTTGGATCGGTCGGTTCATCGGTTCAATCAGTTGAACTGATCAAATCAGGAGCCGAACCCGAAAATGGTTCAATGATCGGTTCGGTTTTAAAAACCTTGGATAGTAGATGGCACATTTATTGTGTTTTTTATTATGTTACAATGCACATTATATAAATGCGCTTCTCAAGTTATAAAAGTTACTTTTTTATATTTTCTATCCTTGTTACTCTTATCAGAGTGTATATCTCCTTTTCATTATTTTTGGTAGTTATGTAATCCTTCTTGGCTCTTGAAACTCTATCATCGCTACCCAACTCTTCTGGATTGGTTAGGGAAGTTGTGCTTATAGACTTTACTAGAGAACTTACAATAGATCATCTTTATTGAACAGAGGGAGATGGCTTGTGATACGTAGCTTCTCTCATGTGAAACAGGTCCAAGCCAAAATGACCCTTCTTATCTCCTGTAAAGGGTATCCTAATCAATTTCTTTGTCATCACTGCTATTGACTCATCAACCCCCTGTTCTTACAATTAGAATCCTAACTTCAAAAATATTATTTTTCAATGAATATTTTTTAAAAAACTAACCATTTGATTTAGTTTTTTAATCATGTAGATTATAAATGTCAAGTTTTAAATTAATTGAATATATATAATTTGTTTATTATTTTAAAAAATTTACTAGCGTTAAACATATATTATAAAAAACAAATTTTTTAATCGAATAATTATAGATATTAAATAGGCTTTAAAATTTACATATATAATCTATATTAATAAAATATTAAATCAAAAAATTATTTTTTT